CCCCCAGCCCTAGTCAGTACACAACCCAGCCCCCACCCTCACCACACACTAGCTACAGTCCCCCACCCGTGCTCTGTCCCCGGCCTTCCCTGCCCCAACCCTTCTCCGTGTTCTTATTGCTTTTACTGCTTTTTTTTTATCGCTCGTATGTGATTTGGGATTTGATTGATGTTATTGCTCGACTATGTGTGTTAAGGTGTTGCTTTGACTGCTAACTTTTTGTGCTACTGCCATACTCCTTTATTGTTATTTGTATTGTTGCTCTTACGTTCTTTAGTAGTGGTTCGTATCCTATTGTTTTTGTGTTAGTAGCTTCGTCCCTACTTTGCTTTTGGTGCTGTTGTGTAGGTGTGGTGGCGTGGGTTAGCAATGTAGCTATAAGGTCATATCCCGGGGATGGGACGGGGGTAGAAGGGTCGCAGAGGGGTAGTGTAGCGTCACATGTGCGTTTCGGCTCATGGAACATAGGGACCCTCACAGGTAAGTCAATTGAGTTGGTGCAAGTTCTCAAGAGGAGAAGGATTCAGGTGGCATGCGTGCAAGAAACCAGGTGGGTGGGCACTAAGGCGCGAGAGGTTGATGATTTCAAACTGTGGTATTCAGGTTCAGCTAGGGGAAGGAATGGAGTCGGCATTCTGGTGGCGCCGGAGCTGCGAGAGTTTGTGGTGGAGGTGAAGAGGATTAGTGATCGTCTGATGTTTATCAAGTTGGTTTTGGGTGGGTGTGCGATCAATGTCGTGAGTGGTTACGCCCCACATGTTGGCTTGACAGACTAAGTAAAGAGGGAGTTTTGGGACGCCTTGGATGGGGTGGTTGGTCGTTTTCCACTGACTGAGAAAGTCATCATTGGAGGCGACTTCAATGGCCATATTGGAGAATCAACCGAGGACTTCGAGGACGTGCACGGTGGTTTTGGCTTTGGCAGCAAGAACCTAGCGGGAGTTTCACTCTTGGAGTTTGCCAGAGCGAGTGATATGGTGGTTGCTAACTCTTGTTTCCCTAAGCGAGACGACCATTTGGCTACATTTGTTAGTGGAGTGGGGACGACACAGATCGACTATCTTCTTTTGCGCAGGTGTGATCGGGTGCTCTGCAAGGATGCTAAAGTAATTCCGAGTGAAAACATCACTACCCAACACAAGCTTCTGGTGATGGATGTCATGATCAGGTGGGTGAAACATAGGAGAGCTTCGAGTGGCAACACACAAATCCGGTGGAGGAGACTAAGAAGAATATCTCTGAGTTGATCAGGCGAGTGCAGGAGAAAGGTGCGTGGGAATCGGCCAGAGAGGCTACTGATTTGTGGGCGCGGACTGCTAACTGCATCAGGGAAACAACCAGGGAAGTGTTAGGTGTGAGCTCTGGCTCTGGAAGTAGGTGTCAGGGCGATTGGTGGTGGAGCGATTCGGTCCGAAGTAAGGTGGAAGCTAAGAAGGTGGCGTATTTGAGGTACATGGGCTGCAATGTTGAGGAGGAAAGAGCGGCGTTACGAGTAGAGTACAAGAAGGCACGTAAAGAAGCTAAGTTAGAGGTTATGAGGGCAAAGAATGCCGCTTTTGAACGCCTCTACAAGGATATTGAGGAGAAAGGCAGTGTTAGTCCACTGTTCCGGCTTGCTAAGGTGCGTGAGAGGAAGGCCCGAGATCTAGATCACGTGAGATGCGTGAAGGGCAGCGATGGTAGTGTGTTAGTTGAGACTGCCAAAGTGGCTAAGCGCGGGGTGGATTACTTTAGTGAACTCTCAATGTTATCCTCCGGACAGCAAGGATGCCTGATGAGTGGAGGGAGAGTCTCTTGGTCCCTCTGTTTAAAGGCAAAGGTGACATTCAGAGCTGCGAGAATTACAGAGGCATCAAACTGCTTAGCCACACCATGGAGGTTTGGGAGCGAGTCATTGAGTATAGGGTGCGGAAAGGGGTTTGCATCTCTGAGAACCAGTTTAGTTTCATGCCTGGTAGATCGACTACAGAGGCCATTCATCTCGTGAGGAGGTTAATGGAAGAGTATAGGGCCAGGAAGAAGGACCTCCATATGGTGTTTATTGACCTTGAGAAGGCGTACGATAGGGTGCCAAGGGAGGTCTTATGGAGGTGCCTTGAGACGAGAGGAGTTCCCATTGTGTACACTCGCGCGATCAAGGATATGTACGATGGGGCTATGACCAGGATAAAGACTTTCGGGGGCGACTCTGAGTCTTTCTCAGTAAGGATGGGGTTGCACCAGGGGTCTGCCCTTAGCCCTTTTTTGTTCGCCTTAGTGATGGACGTCCTAACTCAAGGTGTTCAAGAAGGGGTACCATGGTGCATGCTTTTCGCGGATGATATTGTGATTATCGACGACACACGTGAGGGACTAAACGATAAGTTGGAACTATGGCGGCTTGCCCTTGAGACTAAAGGATTCAGAATTAGTAGGAACAAGACTGAATACATGGAATGTCGTTTCAGCGGCCGGGAAACAGAATCAGAAGTGGAAGTTAGGATTGACTCTCACCTAGTACCTAAGGTAGACAGGTTTCGTTATCTTGGCTCGGTAATCCCGGCTGATGGGGAGTTAGATGGGGATGTTGGACATTGTGTTGGAGTGGCTTGGGCCAAATGGCGGTTAGCTTCAGGGGTGTTGTGTGATCCGAAGATTTCGTCCAAGATGAAAGGTAAGTTCTATCGATCCGTAGTCAGACCTGCTATGTTATATGGGGCAGAGTGTTGGGCAGTTAAGAAGACTCATGTGCGTCGTCTGCATGCGGCGGAGATGCGGATGTTACGATGGATGTGTGGGAAGATAAGGTTGGATAGGATTTCGAACGAAGTTATCCGACGTCAGGTAGGCATGGCGCCGGTGGAAGATAAGTTGCGGGAAGCGAGGTTGAGATGGTTTGGTCATGTGAGACGGCGGGATGCTGACGCCCCTGTACGGAGATGCGAGAGGATTATGGTTATCGGGGGAAGTAGGGGAAGGGGTAGACCTAGGAAGAATTGGAGGGAGGTGATTAGGCAGGATTTAGGACTTCTCACCCTGACTGAGGATATGACCTTAGATAGGAACCTTTGGAGAACTAGGATTAGAGTAGCTGGATAGGAGCTCGGTGTTGTAGAGGTTGTTTGTAGTATGTTGTGTTTGTTTGGAATCTTTTGCTATTGCTTGTACTTGGCTCTTTACCCGTGTTATACTGTGCTCCCTTCCATATTTTTGTGCAGGTTGAGCCGGGGGTCTCTTGGAAACAGCCTCCCTATTTCCGAGTAGGGGCAAGGTTTGCGTACACACACCCTCCCCAGACCTATTGTAGTGGGATTCAACTGGGTTGTTGTTGTTGTTGTTGTTTTGGAATGGTTAATCTGTTGACTCTATTCCATCCAATATCAGCCCATCTAATCCTATCTGTCTCCCTGCAGCCAAAGATACCCTCTATTTGTGTCATAAGGGTCACTCTTTGGCATTATCCTGAAATTCTCCTTATTTTTATTCAACTTTTTCCAGTAGTAACAACTGTTATCTCTGTCTCCTTCATATTTTGACTAAAATGTGAATAAACAAAGCATTGTTGTAAAAGTATTTTTTGAGGAGGCCCCATCTCAATATTAGGCTAAAATAAACCTTATGAGGCTTATTCGCCCTAGAGAGAGGCAGGACATCATTCTGGCTTGTCATATAAACCTCATTTTCTAAGGACTTTTTGAGGCTTAATACTATATAACCAATGTTCGAAATTGCGTATTGTAGTTTCGAGGCATTTTCTTTTCATGGCATTTTGCGCAAGCCTCGAGGCATTTTGAGGCGTAAGCCTCAATTTTCAAATTGAAAAAAAACCCACAAAACATTTTAAAACTAAAGATAGTTTATAATGAATAACATAAAAATCTAGAAACATTTAAAAAGTATATTATCAAAGTAATACATCGCAAACACAACAAAGTCTAACATGGAATACGACGAAATATTGCTCAAAGTGATGAACTTAAATTGAAGAATTCAAAAAAAGTTCATCAGTGTCTAACGGCTTGAAATTAGTATCAAAACATTTTGCATTTCCTTCATTCCCTTCCTCGGAACTGATGAAAAAATCATCTCTAATAGAATCTCGAAACATAATATCATCTTCAACTTCATCAATAAGATGTAGTGATTTTCTTTTCTTAAGGTGTTGCCTTTTTGAAGGATGTCCTTGATTTCTTCCTTGGCTACTTTGGTTGGTGATTGTTTCACTAGCAGTATCACCCTGAGTATGAACTTCATGACCATCACCATTAACATCATCACTCTCGACAACCATATCAGCTTCATGAACAACCCACTCATCATCTGAGGGATTTTCATCCATCACCAACGGATCTTCCTCATCTTTCAGTGATGCTTTCTTCATCCATTTACTTTTCAATCGTTTGTTGTACATCTCATAAACCATTTTATTCAAATTCTTGGTATGCAAGCAATTTCTCTTCTTCATATGGATCTACAAATTAAATATGTGTAAGTAGATGGATCACAAATTAAAACATAGTGAGTCATATATTCAAATAAGTAAATTTTTAAAAATATTATGTGGATATCTATACCTGATTAAATGTGCTCCAATTTCTTTCGCACGCAGATGAGGAACATGTAAGACTTGAGATTCTGATCGCACATGCCATTAGTTCCATATGAAAAATAGGTTTTTTCACAATTTTTTTATTTAAAATGGGTAATGATATTTAGTAAGGGCAATTTACTTACCTGGACTGTTTTTGCACGGTGTTTTGTGCAACCTCATGTCCAAAGAATCCCTACTTCAATTGAAAGTCATCCATTTGCAAGTGAAGTTTTTCTAGGATCTTTTTATCTGGAAATAGCTTAGCCATACATTTAAATTAAACTATTTTCACTTCTGGGTGTGTAGACATCTTCGGATCATACTCATATCGAGGATTGAGGTAGTATGCTGCAACATGCAAATCCTGATGCAGTTGTAATTTCCCACCTCTCATCAATTACGGAGTATTTTCCAAATTTCACTATAAGAGCCAAAGTCCCGTCCTAAATTTTCAGAAATTTCTTCCTTTGCTCGATCCATACAACCATACAGAAACCCCATACCGGGTACCTTCTCTGAGTCTGCAATTCTCAACACTTCAAACAATGGCTTTGTTGTTTGGACAGAATAGTGCACGCTCGGCCAGAAAAATTTATCACGGAGAAGTATTTCTTTCATAGATTTTGCCTCTTGTGTTTTGGATAAATGGTGTGCATTCCATTCTTTTGAGACACATTTCCTCCAACAGGTCTTTAACGCTTAGCATACTTTCAAGTGTAAGATAGGCTGTACCAAACCTTGTAGCCGCGAGACAAACAAGATCTCGTTTTGTAAACTCTCGCATCAATGCCAATGCCCATCCATGATTATATATGTAACGAGTCACCTATGACAATTTGTAAATATATTATAAGAGAATGGGAAGGTAATGGAATCTTTGGTTGAAAAAACATAATAAACAGTGAAATAATGAAATGCATTATCTTCTCCGCTTTCACCGATGCATTCTTGTGTTGAGGAAGCTTCCCAATGTCCTCTACCATCAAATCAATACAATGAGCCGCACATGGTGTCCACCACAGTCGACTTCGTTTTTCAGATAACATCTCACCAACAACCTTATAGCTCGAAGCATTATCGGTAGATTACACAACATATTTGTATTTTTTACATGACGAGAAGCATCAACAGTTTTTAAGAAAACAATGCCATAAGGATTGTTAACAAGAAAATTTATCAACTGTCTTCCTTGCATATCTTTCCACCCATCAGAAAGTATCAACACCCCGTTTTGTGTCCACGTCTTTTTCACATCATCAACAATTTTTGAGTTGTTTTTACCTCTTCATCCAAGATCTAATGGCTCAACTCATACGGTGTGGGTGGCTTAAAACCCTGCCAAAATTTTCGATTGCACGACACATGTTTATGAATGAAGGGGAATTTGCAGCATGAAATAGAATACGATTCTCAATATAAAATCTTCCCACATCTAGGCAAACTCTATCTCTAGCTTCCCTTTCGCTTATTGGATTGTCTGGAATAATATCAAGATTGTCAAGATTAACATCCACAACAAATCTATCCATTGGACTTCACACTCCTCTATTGGAGTTGCTACTACCGCTTATTGTATTTGTATTTTGGTAGTAAGCACCACTATCAATGAGCTCTTCCCGATTTCTCAAGTTCACCTGCTTCGTTTGTTCGGCCAAATTCAATATAGATAACATCTCTGGTTTAACTTCCTTAGGACAAGGTGTTGAATTTTTCCTTGTACCAGCAAGATGATGCTTAAATCGACTAATCCCGCCTTTGATATCTTTTTTACAAAAATTGCAGTTTACATATTTGTAACTTTTTTTTGTCCTTCATTCTGGGTGTTGAGTCAACACCATATTTCCGTGTTGGGTCCGACATTTAAGCCATATCCTTAGAAACCTAAATAAACATTACAATACTATGCAACAACTCATCATAGAAGCAACAAAAACACAACAATTGACAAAACAAAAAATATACATAATTATTAAATTAAAAAAATACACCATTGCAGTTTGTATATTTTAACATATTACATGTTAAAGAAATATATACTGTCACACTAACATATTAGCATAATACACTATCGCAGTCCGTAATTAAAAAAGTACACTATCACAACAAATTACTTGTTAGTGCGAGTGCTCCATGCTGGGTTCTAAAAAACACTAAAAAAAATAAATTATAAAAAAATCATTGTGGACAGCTAGACAGAAAATCACAGATCATCCCTATCCCAAACCACCCCAATCGCACGTCCCAACTCCCAATCTCAATCACAATTCAGAAAAAAGAGATTACCTGATGAAGATGAGCGTTGAAGTTGAAGAGTGATGAAGATGAAGAATCGACTCAAGGGTTTTGAGTTAGTCGATTGCGTAATTATGGGCATTCGCAAGGTATTTAGGATGTAATTTATACTTTTAATTATTTGTAATTGACAAATCTAACCTTAATTTTAAAATTGGGCACGCCTCATCGCTAGCACCATTGCACACGCTATGGGGCGTACACCATCTCCCAAATTGCGTATGAAACCTAACTGCGTGAGGTTAGATACACACTGTTGCGTTTTTTTACGGAAAAAGTTCTATTGCGCGCAATATGGCGGGTTTCCGCCTCGCCATTTCGAACATTGAATATAACTATGATGGAGTCTGAAGAATCACGAGGTAGTTCTTCTCTTCTTCACCATTCATGCAATAAGTAACTGAACTTTGACAAGGCGAGAGAAGGGGCGAGTGAGAAAACCTTTTTTGAGCGAGAGGCGAGGGTAGTCAAAAAGCGAACACACACATATATAGGTGGAAACTGTTATACAAAATAATATATCTATTTGAATTTGAATACGATAATGTACATAGTGAAAAAGATAATGAAAGAAAAAAATTAGAAATAATTTTCTTCTCCCTAAATGGATTGAACAAATCATACCGATCATTAAACATTTTGGAAAACAGAACATCATTAATTAATAAATATAGTGATCATCAATAAATGATCTAAATAGAATTAAAACAAAATAATAGTTTTACTCACAAACTTAGTCGCAGAAGCCCTAATGAGACGCGAGTTGCACTGAAGCATAAAGAAGCGGAGTACTCCATATTTAATTAGGTCAAGCAAGTTCTAACCATTTTAAAAAAATCCTTGACCAACTCAAAGGCGGAGATAGCGAACACCATGTGCCTCAAGTAAAAGCAATGATGTCAACTGCCATAGCGCACCTCACTTAATTTGCCATGCCAGGCTGCTCAAGGCATTGGAGGTTCGCCTCACAGCCATAGGTGCCATAAGTGAGGATGGCGAACACCATTAATAACTATGTTCGCAATACTAGAAATGCAAATAAATTTTGTTACTTGTTTGTTTTTAAATTTGAATGATTTATGTGCTGATGCTAATACCTCAAAATTGTAACGTAAACGGGACATGAAGTTTGAGGCTTATGCCTCATGCCACTCCAAGGTTTACACGTCTTTCACATACACAAAACGCTTTGAGGTTTCAAACACCATTTACACTTTAGGAGGGGGGATGTATAGTATATCTTCAAAATTACTCTGTTAGACATGATTTGTAACTGAGATTTATGCTTTTATTATACCACGCTAATGGGAGGCCTCGATTGCATATAGCTCCCCTTCTCTTTGTAATTTACCATCCTTTCTTTTTGGTGGCATCTGTGTCTAATCTTCCCCTGAGGTTTCAAACATCATTAAATCCTTAGGAGGGGGATGTATAGCATATTTCAAATATTACGTCATTAGACAAGATGTATAGCTGAGATTAATGCTTTACGCATACCACTTTAATGAGAATACCCCCGTCTCTTTTTAATTCAGCATATTTTCCTTTTTGGGGCGTCTGTTTGTAATTTCCCTTTTCCTTTTAAGGAAGAAAGTTTTGTTATTGATATTTATTCCTTCCTGGCTAAATAAAATTCAGCCACACATCATATTCCTGAACTCTTTGCAGTGTAAAACAACATAGATTAATTGATGACTGAGGGAGTGTATAACTAACTATACATGGTGTTATAGAAGAGTTTTATGGATTTTATGTGGTTCTTACCTTAATATACATTCATCACTTTGTGTGTGTAGTCACACTTCTATCACCATTTCGTGCTAAAGCATGGATAGATTTGGTGCAATTAAGGGTTATGAAAAATACTTTCCGTTAGCAAGAAAGACATTCTGATAGATATACCCGTCTATGCATTCTAACCGAGAACATCCTAAATTTTTGTATTACAGGTTGAAAATGTGAAGCAACGTTGCTTGCCAAATGCATTGAATTATCCCATGTTGGAGGAATATGACTTTAGAAATGATACTGTTAGTTTTCTCTCAATTCTCATCTCCAGGAACAAAAAACTACACACCATTCCTGATGCTGCATATTGTTTCAGGTCAATCCTGATCTTGATATGGAGTTGAAACCTCATGCACAACCACGGCCATATCAAGAAAAAAGTCTTAGTAAGATGTTTGGAAATGGTAAGATTGTTGTGCCTACCCGATTTTCTTAGGATTGCTTGCTTGTCAATTATCAGATACATAAACACAATGCCTTTTGATTCTTCTCCCAGTATATGCAATATTTTAAAAGGCACTAGGTGCTAGGTTGACACCCGGCACGGGCATGGCTCCTAAGAGCCTAAGCGGGTAATTTAAGTTGCACCAAGACGGGGATAGGGACGGGATCAGAAGCATGAAATGCCAAAATTTTTAATAATTTATTAAGGATTTGGGTGTGGGGATGACTTTAAGTACCCGGCGGGGGGACGTTTTTGGGATGGGAAGCGGGCAAGCGGCACCTATCTGAAGAACCCGTGCAACAGGCCGGGTATAATTTGGGCTAGGAAAATAGAGATTTTTTTTTATAAAACTTTCTCCTAAACCTTTTATTAACTTTATGATTGAGTTGGGATGTATATTTGTTTATCATTTTACATGATAATTTTATGTTATAAATGTATGAGTAAATAGTAAATACTCTCTTTTTCTCATTTTATTGGTGAAACCAAATCTTTTGTCTACATTTATAATTTGATTGTGTGTGCATTACATGCAATAAGGATATGGTACTCCCTTGGTAGGGCTTACTTAGGGGGAGGTTTGATTCCCATGCATAGTTATTACAGGGGATCACCTTACTTGCCTCACGTGCCTATGGCCCTGAGGCAAGGCCGGGCAAAGGGCACCGAAAAGCGACCTGGATGGCTTAGATCTGGTCCAAATATTTTTTGAAAATAGTCTGACCACTTTGACTGGTTAAAATAACGTTTCTTTAGTACTAACAACCTATAGGCAGCTCGCTTCATCAAGCCCTCCACAGGACTCCTCAATCCCTTAAGCTAGGCACCAAAGCTTTTTGATACTTTTATTCTATTTATTTATTTAGTTATTATGTACCATCGTTTCCGATGGAGCCAAAGATTTACTATTTTTTGGCTTTGGTGTATGATGCAATAAAGCAAAATGTCTCTTTAAATTTTCTATGCTTATTTTAATAGTGAAGTAGCAGTTAGTCAATGCAACTTTCAACGTTCATCATGGGTCATCTGGAAACAGCCGCTCTATGTTCTAAACATAGGGGCATTGTTGCGGCTTTGGGGTAAAATATTGCTGCCGTTGTTGGTTATTATGTACCCGTCTGTCCACCCACATAAGTTGGATTTGCGTGTGTTTATGTCTTCATCTTAATTTTGTCATCATTTTTTAAAATTTAAGTTTTATATCTTTTTAAAAAATGTTCTTTATTATAAAGAAAGCAATTTTTTTCTCAAAACAAACTTTAGTTAATTTATTTCATCTAGAGCCGACAATTTTATTTATTTCAAAACAATGAGGATTATATAGAGATTTATAATAATTTTGAAGTTTGGCTGTCTTATGTATTTTATCTTCATTATGTTCTAGTAATATATATACTCCCTTCGTCCCGAAATTATCTTACTGTTTTGGTTTATGATGTTTGGCCGAAGTTATTTTTAATTCAATTTATTTAATTATTGGTGTGAAATTTTAAAAATAAAAAAAATTTACTCCCTTCGACCCCAAATAAATTCTTACTTCGAACAACGTGCAAAATCACATCTCTTTTAAAATGATTTTTTTACAAACTAGTATAGAAATAAAAAGTACAAATTACATATTTGAGAACTACATCAAAAGTTCTACAAAACAAGATGTGACCAAAATATTTTATTTTATTAAATGATCAACAAAAAAATACACATAAAAAGAAGTTATGGAGAGACTCTAATAATAACTAGAAAGTTTATTTGGGGACGAAGGGAGTATATATTTAGGAACTACATCAAAAGTTCTACAAAACAAGAGGTGAAAAGACTATTTTATTTTAACATATTTTTTTAAACACCACTCAGATCAGTTAGATCAGTTTTATTGGAACAAAATAAGAGTACAATGGTTTCGGATATACATGGGAGGAGAAAGACAACATATCTTGGAAATTCATTTAATGATAAAAACATTTAAGGCCAAGCTCCAAGATCTCCATGTATGTTGCATCTCTCCTGGCTCTTTTGTTGGTCCAGAACCAAAGTTTAATCCGAGAGTCAACCTCCTTGATAACCTTATTAGTATTAAAAGTACCTCCATCATAAAGGACCTTATTGTACTCTTTCCATATAGCCCAAAGAATGATTCCTGGTATAATCTCCCTTAACCTGCCCTTCAAGGTTTCTTTAGAATAGCTACTCCACCAATGAATCAAGTGTTGAGTTATGCTAGTTTCCCCTCTTGGTAAAGGACCATCAACTTGTTGAGCAAAGCGTATCCAGATTTGTCTGGCTTTAGGACAGAATAAGAGAGTATTATCACTTGCCTCATCAGTTCTGCAGTGTAAACAAATAGAGGGCAAGTGGATATTAAATCCAGTTAAGATGTTTGAGTCTTTGAGAAAGCTAAGCATCTATTAATGACCTTCCAAGTAAAGATTTGGATCTTGGGAATCTGATTTTTGTTCCAGGCTAGGGAGTGAGATAGAGAGGCTGTTTCATTAGGTGTTACTGCAAAATAGGCTTCCTTGAAAGAGAATGTTCCCTCATCCCAGATAAGTTCACCATGTTGCCAGTGGGTGTAATTAAGACAAGTCATTGATCTTGACAATTCTTTTCCAACAGGGAGAATCATAATGGTAAGCTTTAAATCTACTATTTCTAAAGTATTTATCTCTCATATAGCTAGACCAAATGGTACCTCCTTTGTTAACCTTCCACCATAATTTGATGCTGTAGGCTGCTTGTAAATATTCTATACTTCTTAAGCCTAAGCCTCCATACTTCTTTTGCTTACAAAAGTTTGCCCACTGGATCCATGATGTTGATAATAGCCTTTGGGAGCTCTTGAGCAGCTAGGTGGTGTAGTGGAATGCAAGTAAGAACATGCTTGATGAGAATCATTCTCCCCATAGGATAGAGATGTCTGCTATACCAAGATTCAAGATAACCTTCAAAGTGATTGATAATCTTGTAGCAATGCTCTTTTTTAGTTTTCCTTTTGTGATGGTTGATCCCAAGTAAGGTCGTGTTCTTTTGGGTTGGAAAAATTAACTTCCAACTTTTTCCAACTCCTTTCAGTTCCTTCCAACTCCTTCCAGTTTCTTCCAATGACTTAAAAAAGGTATTTATATATGATGAATATACAATAACATGATATATCCAAATTTATAACATACAACCCCAAACATAGACAATGATGAATTCTTTGTTTATCCAAAATTAGAGTTTTCTTACATATTTATTTGGGTGATTATTTAATTGAGTGACTTTTTAACCCTTAATATTTCCAACATTTTTCAACTCCTAGTTTTTTCCATCTCCTTTCTGTTTCTTCCAACATCTTACTCTGAAATTCCAACCCAAAGGAACAGGGTCTAAGTGAATGGAAGTTGGCCACATCCAATCCCTAGGGCATTTTCCATTCTAATTTTGGCAGCATCAGCAATGCCTTTGCTACAATAAAACCTGCTCTGGTTGATATTTATGTTCTGACCAGAGGCCAAGCAATATTCATTTAGGAGACCTCTAAATCTGAGCATGTTCCGCTAGCCACCTTGCATGAATACACTTATATCATCTCCAAAGCCCACATGAGAAACTACACTGATTCTTTCATCATTAAAGGGTTTGATATATCCTGTTTCAAGTTTCAACATGGTTCTTAATCATTCTGCTAAATCCCTCAGTATCCAAAATGAAGAGAAGTGGGGATAAAGGATCTCCCTGCTTAACTCCTCTATTCATTTGGAAAAAACCAGTTGGGTGACCATTAACAAGCATACTAAGATGAGTAACCTTCAAGATTCTACATGAGGATGTTGATAGCCATCTCATTAAAACCAAATTTCTCCAAGACAGCCCTCATACAGCACCAGGATATTCTGTCAATTGCTTTAGCTAAGTCCAGCTTAATGATTACATTGCCATACCTGACCTTTCTATTAATTTTTATTTTAACATATGGTCAATGAAAATATGAGAATAAAGAAGAAATGGTTTGACTTTATGAATAGTAACTTGGAAGATGATTTTGGGAAAAAGGAAGTATGTATGTATAATTTTTGCCTCGTTCGCCTTTTGATCGCTTGCCTATTGCCTTGAAAAATTACCTCTCCCCTCTTGCCTTTCAGAACTATGATTCCAAGCCATTCCACGAGCCCATATTAGTTTGTTATATAAGTGCTTTTGATATAGTTTTTAAACACACACACACACATGTGTGTGTGTGTGTATTACCCACTTTAGGGGGCACCCCATCCCATCAGCAACCCCTAAGCCCATCCCCCAGTCTTGGGGTCAACGGAGTACCGTAGCACTCTCAAATGGCATGTTTTAATACCATTGTCATTTGAACATATTTATATATAATAAATTCTCCAGCTTATAACTTCATTCTTATTTTGTTGTATAAGACACATAAAAGGGAAGAAGGTAGTATTATTTCAGAAAAGAATTCAATCCAAATTAAGAAAAAAGGTCAATAGTTAAAGACAAATTAATGTACAATCAATTTATCCAGCCTGAGTGAGATCTCAAAATTTGATTATATTTCAAAAACAATGTCGTTTGTTGTTTATATTGGATATATCCTAAAGTTAAGATTGCTTACGTATCATGTGGCATATCTCCGAAAAGTACCAGTGATGTACTGATTTGTAGTGTGTTGCACTAAGGGGATTGTGACAAATCACTCTTCATCACCTTTCACACATAAAAAGAGTTGGCACCCAGAATGCCTACCTCTGCTAGATGCATGGATGTCTAGGTTACCCGTTGAGGAGCGGATCCGGGTGGCCTAGGCCAGCAGAGACCAGCTTTTAAAGTACTGAGTATACATTCTAACTGAGCAACTTCGAGCCCATATACTGGAGGCAACGACTAAGGAGAATTGCTGTGCAGTTATTGTGATATAATAAGATAAAGAATATATTTATATCTTAAATCATTCAAGGAGGATTATAAGTTCTTTAAGGACAAAAGCCATCTTCAAACTCTAAGTCTTCTTCGAATGACATCTCAAAGATTACATCTTTGGGTTGATGCCATGTTTTTAGACTACTCTTTACAGCAATATTCCGCAGCGTCATCCTCTACGTCTATGATCACAAAGATGACATATATGGAGTGATGTCATGCTTCTTGATTAGGCTTTACAACTACAATCCTTTATCATAAAAATTATTTTTGGTTACATTGGTTAAACAAAAATCAATAGTTTTCTTGTTTGCTTTTGTTTTTTGATGCAACAGTGGCAGATGGAAGTTCTCATGCTTCTTTTTAGACTTCAACAAGCAAAGCATGATCAAAATATAAAGCATAGTGACAAGAAAACTCTGTTAAATGGCTTAAACATAAAAAATGGGTTTTGTAATGAAGTTTATCAGGGCAACACTAGTTCATGGTTGTTTCTCCGACTGCTTTAGTGACTTCAGTGAAAAAAGCTTTACTAGAGTTTGATGCAATAGGTTGTTTCATTGTGTTCCAATTGTTTTCTGATCAGTAAAATCGTATGCATAACATTTCAGGTAGAGCAAGATCTGGTATCATTGTGCTTCCTTGCGGTGCTGGGAAGTCTTTAGTAGGTGTCTCTGCTGCATCCAGAATTAAAAAAAGCTGCCTTTGTTTAGCAACTAATGCTGTGTCTGTAGATCAATGGGCTTTCCAGTTCAAGTTGTGGTCAACCATTCGAGAAGAACAAATATGTCGTTTCACATCTGATAGTAAAGAACGATTCCGTGGTAATGCTGGTGTTGTGGTAACGACATATAACATGGTTGCTTTTGGTGGAAAACGTTCAGAAGAATCTGAAAAGATCATAGAAGAAATTAGAAACAGAGAGTGGGGTTTACTCCTTATGGACGAGGTACTAGTTAAGAACACTTTTCCTATATATTGTCAAATACAGCCTTGCTGGTGGATGCAAAAGCTTGCTTATAATTTCCACTTAGCTGGAATATAAAGTGAATCTCACTCATGTGATAATTTATTCCACTCTTTTTATGATTTTTTGTAGGTTCATGTGGTTCCTGCTCACATGTTTCGAAAAGTTATCAGCATTACTAAATCCCACTGCAAACTTGGACTCACTGGTAAATGCTGATCTAATCTTACATGCTTCATCAACAACTATCTTTACTGATTTTGGTGTAATTTTAATGAGTTTTCTTTGACATACAGCAACATTGGTCAGAGAGGACGAAAGAATTACAGATCTTAACTTTCTTATTGGCCCCAAATTGTATGAGGCAAATTGGTTGGACTTAGTGAAAGGAGGATTTATTGCAAATGTGCAGTGTGCTGAAGTTTGGTGTCCAATGACAAAGGAGTTCTTTGCTGAATATTTGAAAAGGGACAACTCTAAGAAAAAGCAGGTTTGGTGTCTTTTGCAACTTCTCTGTGATCAATACTTCAATTGTTCTCTGTCGGGTGGTATTTTGAAGTAGATAATTTCTTTTTTTCCTTTTTTTTAAAAAGGGGGAAACTATTTGCTTCTAATTGTCATGATGATGCCTTTACATCGGAGCTTGTGAAGGCGTGAAGCTGGAACTTGGATGGCTAATAACCAACTATACTGAACCCCATAATCAGTACTTTGTGGTTGCTAACTTCATAAGAGGCAAAGGGATAAGCCCTAACAGATGGAAATCTTACAGACCAACTATGTTCAATTTGAAATAAACTTGGCTTGTAAATCACTTTATCTCAAAAGCTTAATATTTATGCAAAATGATCAAGGGACCAAAGTAGTGTTCCATATTTAAGATCTGACTGTAAATAGAAGTATAGAATGCACATAATCATTGCACCAACAATCCATAGGAATGAATTTTTCGCTTTGCTTTTAAAAGGCCTCTGGCATGAATTGAAGATTATAGATTTTGGTTTCAGTAAGGCTTACACATTGAAACGCTGCAGATAGGTTTCAGTTTTCTTTCTTTAACATTTAAAGCTAGTTAGTGTCCATACTCCGTAGTCTGCTTACTTATTTTCAGTCATCAAAGCCACTAAGCATATTAGACAACCAGTAAATATACAACCCAATTCAGCGATCCTCTATAGACTTCTTGCAGATTCACTTTTCTTCTCTTCTTCCCAAGGCATCTTCATCTTGTAGTCTTGTGTTCTTTCTTTCTCCACTCGCAACAAGCATTATATTCCTGCAGATCAGCACTACCTCGACAAAAGAAGTTACAATGCCAAAGACAATTAAGAGTTCTATACATGTCTCTCCTTATTAACTTTGACAAGGCAGCAAAAAAGTAGGTCACTAAATGAGGAGTGGATTCTGACACTCTAATATTGGTACCCATTCATTTTTTAATCTGTATTATAAGAATTCTTTGGTTCTCTTAATAAAAGCATTAAACAATGTTATATTGCTGTTAGAGTAATTTCCATCATCTCCAATGGAGCCAAAGATTCACTATATTTTTGGCTTTGGTGTATCATGGATTAGAGCAAAATGGCTCTATAGACTGTCTCCTCTTCTTTTAATAGTGAAGTAGCAGTTAGTCAATGCAACTTTCAACGCTCACCACGGGTCATCGAGAAACAGCCGCTCTTTATTTTAAGCATTAATTAGGGTCAGGCTGCGTACGTGATTTTACCTATGGTGCTTGAGGGGGTCTCTTTGGAAACAGCCTCCCTACATTCAAGTAGGGGTAAGGTCTGCGTACACTCACCCTCCCCATAGGCCATAGCATACTTTTGTGGGATTCAACTGGGTTGTAGTTGTTGGTGTTGTATATTGCTGTTAGAGTGTTGTAGTCATACATAATAGAGTGCAATGCCTGGTAGACCAAAAAACAAGATGGTTTAGAATAACACTCTTAAATTGTTTTTTCAATTGCTCGGAGTCTTAGAAACATCCTTTTCTTTTTTACTTTGTGGTATGGTGAAAATTAAGACTGGACCAATGATAACTGATAACAGGCACAGCAACAAGCTAGGTATTTAACTGAAGAGATACCAACAACAACAACCGAGTAAAATCCCAGGAATAGGTCGGCGGTGGGGTGGTCGGTGTCCATTTACATTTCCCGTAATGTCTTGTTATTATTATTATTATTGTCATTGTTATTATGATTCTCGTTATCGTTATCATCATTGTCATCGTCATTGTGTTGAGAGCTTTTGTAACTCATCTTTGCCTTCCATTACTTGGGGGTTTAAAATTGGATATCGAATTATTTTAAACAAAAACAAAATTTTCTTTACATCTCGCCTTCCTTCCTAAAAATCTAAACTTCAGGATTTTGACATTTTAAGTGTTTTCTCTTCCTTCATCTATAAGCAAAAGCTATAAGAAGACAGATATTTGCATTTGGCTTATAGGGTTAAACTGCTTAAAATAAGCAGCAAGTATAAACTAGAAGCAAGTACGTACTTACTTTTGTCTTGAGATGTATAATCTATTTAAAGTAGGTGTGCATTTAATTTAGGTGTACCAACCTGTAAAAGCTTCTTAAAGTAAGAAATAAACTCATACTCTGTATTTATTTTTTTGTAAAACATTCCCATTGTTTGTATTATTGAAATTGCCTGTGACCTGTGCCTTTTCTCACATTTGGGCCAATTTTATCTTCTAGGCACTTTATGTGATGAATCCAAACAAGTTCAGGGCATGCGAGTTTCTTATCCGCTTCCATGAACAACAACGTGGGGATAAGATAATAGTTTTTGCTGACAATCTGTTTGCGCTCACAGAATATGCAATGAAGCTTAGGAAACCTATGATCTACGGTGCTACAAGGTCCATTCATATTTATTCATAAATCATAACTTTAGTTCCTTTTTAATTAAGTTCTAAAAGCAACTTTCTTTTACAAGCAGCCACATAGAAAGAACAAAAATTCTCGAAGCATTCAAAACTAGCAAGGAAGTGAACACCATTTTCCTGTCTAAGGTATGTTTTAGAAGCTGATATTTTGTTTATATTTAAACTGTGCAATTTTAGAAATTTTCCATTCTTCAGTATTTTAAGCTACCTATAGTCATATACTTGCTATAGGTCAATGAGCTTCTCTGAAGTGACCTTATATGCAACAATGGAGGCATAATTAGTCTACGCCCTTGTTAGAACAATTTTTGCGACTGGTGTATTTAAAAAGTTGCTCCGTAACTTAAATGATATGGTGCCGTATATCATATATGTATTTAAAAAGCAAAAATGTATGATAGAAAAGATAAAAAAGAAAAGTATGAGGGAGTAGATAACAAAATAAAGGCATTTATGTAATGTGTTTAGCTCTTATTTGGTAAACGGGAATGTGGAACAAGTGTTTGAATTATGAAAATTTATGTGGAAAGGAGTGGATTTAGCAGATTTAGGTGAAAGGTGTGGATTTAGCAAATTTAGGTGTGGGTTTAGTCTCACCTTTATTGTTATTACTTTGATAGTAATATACTCCGCCTGTCCTGCAATGAAGTTTATACATTCTTTTTTCATCTGTCCCAAAATAAAGTTTACGTTCCTCCCATTTCATTTTTAGGGAAGGAGTATTTGGCTTCACATAGTTCTCTCTTCTAAATAAATTCCAACCACCATGTTTCCCTTCCCAACAGTTTTCTTAAAATCTGTGAAGTCAGAAGTCTGATTTTTTTGGGGGGACGGAAGGAGTATCAGTTAGCTGTTTCTTCAATAGTATTTGATTATGTTCAGAACTGTTGTAGCAGTTGGTTGTATCCTATAATAGTATAATGAGATACAGATACTCAATCTATTTATAAGCATTAGTAACAATTTGAAGGATTGTTCAGAATCATGTGACTTTTGTAAATTTGAACTGATAAACCCGGTGACTTTTGAGCTTAGACACGGTCCATCTTCTTCTTCTCTTCAACCATGTGCAAAAAGCACTACCACTGCTAGAGACGGTTCATCATGAGGGTTGATGCTTTCACTGTTTTGTAATTTGTATCATGGTGGTGCAATTGTATGTCCCTGTCTGGGCTTGGTTTGATTTGATTTGGAAGCTGGTTAGCTGGGTATTTTATGCATGGAAAATCACATATGATATAGTATTGTTGCCATAATCGTTGTAATAAATGTGCAAGATTGTAAGCCATTTGTAATGGATGGCTGAGAATTATATTATCCCTTCATTGCCATTTTCTAATGGAAACATGTTTTCTTTCACCACTGTATAATTTACATATATGTTCCCTTCATTGACAGGTAGGTGATAATTCCATAGATATTCCTGAAGCAAATGTTATTATACAAATTTCATCTCATGCTGGTTCAAGACGACAAGAAGCTCAACGTCTTGGTCGTATTCTTAGGGCTAAGGTTTGCTTCTTGTTGGCATTGTTATATTATTAGTTTATCGGTTTATCCTACTTCATCATTATACCTTTTTTGTCTTGTCTGTATTGAAAGTGATAGATCGGAAGTGTTGGCGGGTAGTAAAATGTCAATATCTCATGGCCTGCTAAATAGGCATGGAGTATTTGGAAATTATAACGAATGAATTTAATAGATGCACTAAGAACAACATACATTCTGTACCGCTGAAAGTGCACCTCATGTAGTCAGTCTGGCGCTGTCTCATTTCTTTAGACTCCAGGGTTCACCTTCCCACCTCTAATCTATCATTAAGTCTTTCATTTGTCTCGTCAATACAAACTATATAGCCTGCAAATGGCATGCACCACATGGGATATGCCGCATGTATTCATCTGCTACCAAAACAAAGAGGAATGGACTGAGAGCAGGCCCTTGGTGTGGTCACATCGCCATCAGTCTTCCAAAACTCAAACTGGAATCTCATCTTGTCACACTACTCTTCCCTAATTCCCCTCCCCATCCTACTAATATCCACTTCAATAAACTCAATTTCACTCGCCTAGAGCACCTAAAATTGTGTCAGCTTTCCAAAAGCCCTAGTTTACCAACACAACACTCCTATCCTCCTTTGCACCATAGAAGCTTCTGGAAGTATGAATGCCATCTATGCTTAACAGTTGCCAACTCCATCAACACACTACCATCTTCGTCCTTTTTGCAAATCACATGCCTTCCTCTTTCTTTTAACTGAGCTTCTCTCTTCCTTTGACCACTAAGTCCTTATACAACTGTTCAAAAGCCACAAATTCTGCAGTCGTAATCATAAGCCTAGCTTCCTTATGCGCAATCATATGTTTATCATGATTTCCCCTGCTCGTCACTAATCTCTACAAGCTTCATATATGCTGCTTTTGGCATCCATGTTTCCTTGGACTTCACTGTTCCGCCAACAGTCTTCTTTGTCGCAAGGATTCCTCAAAGAACTTGAACATCTATAAGACCACAATTCAAATTTCAGCTGAAAACAAACTTATGTTATTTGTGCCTGGGATGGATGGAAATAGGTGGATTTTGTTTGGCTAGAATGCTAGATGATGGAAGATGAAATTGAACTAGGGAAGCTCATGTTTTTTCTATTGGGGTAAATTGCCACTGAATGTCTTGTGATCGTGAACCAAAATAAGGGGTGGCATTTCATAAAATCCATGGGTTACTTTAGTCTCTTGTCTTGGAAGGAAAATGAACAAATGGCTGCAAGTGTTAAACTTAAATTTTTGTTGGGCATTCTATAAGGTCTTGGTACCCCTTTCTAGGTAGGGGTGTGGTTTGCATACCCCAATCTCCAGCTCCTCACCCCATTTGTGGGACTTTACTCGACTGTTTTTTTATTTTGTTATTGTTCAGTAAGAACAAAAAAGATTATGAAAAGGAAATGGTGTATTTCCATAGCCGTAGAAGTGGCGTTTTCATTGGGTCTTCCATAGGAAAAAAAACTCTTTTTAAATGAAAAACCTTTAGGCGATGGAAAATCCTTTTGATAAAGGATTTGGGTGGAAGGATTACTTATAGAATTGACCTTACACGATAATATTCCTCCAATCAAAATATTTACAATAATATACTAAAGAATATTCCATTGGTTAGGTTGTTGTAATGTATAATAAAGAACTTGATGCAAAATACTTCTTCCATCAAACTCGGATTTTCCATCTTTCCTTTTTTGTCCTTGGGACAGTACTTTTTACTTTCATTTCCTTCTAAGGAAAAGAATTTGTGGTCCATATGCTTTCTTCTATTGAACGAATCTCTACCAAATACACTTGTAACTTCTGATCTCCGTGCCACAGGCACTTGGATAATTCTAATGGGGATGAAGGAAGTACCATGCAAGCAATTAATAGGCTAATTTATAGTGAAGTCTACTCTCATGCACTCTTAACCAATCATGTTTGCTACATTATTTGTTACTATTATTAAAGTAATAGTATCAAGCACATGGTGACTATTAATATTATCTTTACCCAGCAATCCCCAGCATGTGCCTTTGTTATGTGTAGTGAGTAGAGATCGTCTATAGCACAGAAGGTTGCGAGCATGGGTGCAGTAAATTTTGATTTTTAAAAAATATCTTTTATGTCCTCAACAAATTTTATTTTAACAATACAAATAATGTTTCACACAATCACACATAAGGCTGCAGTGTCATTTGAACATAAAATACAAGTAATAAAACATAATAGATGCCCCAAATTTTCCCACACATACATCTCTAGGTGTGTCCGTTCTTCATAGGCTTGACAGATATCCAATTCAGCGGTGATAGATATGCTCTTCAACTCCTTTTCAATAAGCATGCTCTTGTGCGGCAGATGGCTTTAGTTAATATGATTATTGGTTTGATAGGGACGTCTTCAAGACAGGATGGCAGGAGGTAAAGAGGAGTATAATGCATTCTTTTACTCTCTTGTGTCAACAGATACACAGGTTTTCCCATTTCCTTCCATGCAAGCTTATGTATTTTCATTTTTGATATTTCCCGTGCACATGCGAGGAAGTACTATTATGACCTAAGTTCCTTGGCAAACTCATTCAGGAAATGTATTATTCAACGAAAAGACAGCAATTCTTGATTGATCAAGGGTATAGCTTCAAGGTATAATCTACCCTGCAACGGGCATTTAGTATGTATTTCTTGTTTGTATTCATCCCTATTTATTTGTTTCTATGTAATATATGAGAACATAGTAATACAATAGTGGGCATTTGTCTCTTGGTGCATGCCAGGTGATCACAAGCTTGCCACCTCCTGATTCAGGACCTGAATTGAGTTACCATCGCCTTGAGGATCAGCTTTCCCTTCTTGGCAAAGTAAGTACTACGTATTTATGTTGTCCTTTTTAAATAAATGTATAGTTTCTTTTTCCAACATTCGTACATATGGTTCTGTCAGCTAAATGTGGTATCATTTTTTAAACTTTTAATTATAGGTACTAAGCGCGGGTGATGATGCTGTTGGTTTGGAGCAACTAGAAGAAGATGCCGATGACATCGCCCTTCAAAAAGCCCGTCGTATAACAGGATCTATGAGTGCAATGTCTGGCGCAAGTGGAATGGTTTATATGGAATACAAGTACGCAGCTATAACTTTTTTTTTACGAATAGTGATTTTGATCTGTTCCTAGTATAATTTGTGGTGGCATGAATGTTTCTTTGCATGCAATATCTGAAATCTGCTCGATTCTTTTGTTCCCCCCCCCCCCCACAAACCCCAAGCTAGGGTTGAGAAGTTGTACGAGGGTTAGGGGGTACCACTTTGGGGTTCGGGGTCGAGTGAAGCATCACACGGCCCCCAATATGATATTAGACACCAGTGATAATAACAAAAGGGATATGAAATATATGCAAGTGGTAAAAAAGTGAACTGAGTAATGGTGTCGTTTGTAGTTTTCGTTGATGATTTATGTGTATATTTTCTGACGATTTATAAACTTTGATGAAGCAGTAATGGGCAAAAGAGGCAGGTAGGGCATGCACAGAAGAGCAAGCCCAAGGATCCAACAAAGAGACACCATTTGTTCAAGAAGCGCTTCGGTTGAGTGGATCTAACAGAAAGGCAAACGTTTTCGTCATCTTCCATAAATATATTTCCTGCTTTTTAGTTTGTTGCTATAAAAATTCAGGGAGAAGTTAATCACTTCTTCAATTAAATTCTTTTCCTTGAGAATCTTAATAACATACTCTACTCAATTGGTAGAAGCACCTTTTGTTGTGGGAAAGTTCAATATACGTAGTACTTTATATTAATTTCCCTTGTTTGTTACACCTGAATGAAGTTTACTATAGAACATTTTACCTCGTGGTGTTAATGATAGGAAAAAAATTTCGAATCACAGCCTAAATATGAAAGAAAAACGTGCATTGCACAGAGGTTTTTGTCATGGCTTCCATTTTTTATCACTAAATTTGACTATGAGTAGTTCTGGCTACGGCAATGACGAATTCTGCTGGAAATTGAGCATTCCAAAGTGCTTCTCATAGAACGCTGCGTGTTTGCCTTGAATGTGTTTTGTGTAAATGTGTGAAAAATGTAAACCTCACAAAGATATTAGTTTTAAGAGTTTTACATTTTAAGACACATCTTGTATTGGGTTAACACTTCTACCGCAAAATCTCTTATTTTTGTGAATGTTTTAGTGAATTGCTATTATATGATTATTGCATGTTAGTTAAAATTGAGCTAGAGGCACTAGGGTGGCGGCATGGAGTGATGGTGGTTGTACCATAAGAGATATTTACGTAACCCGACAGCAGATTTGTCAGCATGCTTGGGAGCATCGATTGCATGCATTGAGAATGACATAAGTATTCTTGATTTGACGATTGAGTTAATGAGACTGCACCCGACTTTCATTCTCATGGGGTGATCATTCCAAACCTACTATTATGCTCGAAGCAATGACTTCAAATGACCTATAATTTTGGCATGTCTTTTGGTGTTGCAGGCTCGAACAATGACATAAGTATTCTTGATTTGACGATTGAGTTAATGAGACTGCACCAGACTTGTCTTTTGAGCTTAGAAGGACGCTTTACAAGCGTGGATATTATCTTTCCGATGGAATATATCAAGATTATTCAACAACTGTCGAGTCGCTCTCGGAACAAATTGGTCTTAAACGACAGACGCACAAAAAAGCTTATGAGGTGAGAAGAAAGGACATCAGACTTGCCTTTAGGGTGTTGAAGGGTAAGTGGCACATTATATATCGTCCATCCAAGTGTTATTTTCAAACAAAAATGAGGAATATTATGTACACATCTATTATTATTCTTCATAATATGGTTATAGAAGACAACGAGTTTACAATTTGTCATTATAACCCAGGCGAGGAGGTACCTACCTTTGAAGAAATCAACGCAGAAAAAAAAGATAAAATCGCCAAGATTATCAAAGTTGAAAGATTCACAACGCACTAATAGCGGATTTGATTGAACATATTTTCACTCGTTCAAATAATCATTAATTCTATGTAACTTTTTTATGTGTTTGATTTAAATTTTATGTAACTTTTTTGTTTTTAAAATTGAATATACTTTTTTTATAGAATGTATTTTTTGTTTAATGAATTATTGTGGTTTAAAGTTAATTAATTAATAAAATTTTATTAATTCCCTTTTAATCAATGTATAGTTAAAAAATAAAAAAAAGAAAGGTTTGAATCCTCGATTTGAAGCCCTGGTATTTCCAGTGAAAATTATGGTATGAGTTAAAAGTGAGTTAAAGATGGTGTGGTAGAGAGATGTTTGAAGCTCGGGGCTTCAAATCCATATCTAGTGCCCTAATGTTAAAGAATCAACTCACTCTTCAAAAGTGTTTTTTGCAAAGTTTTTTGTTCATAATTTTTATTATTTTTTTAAAATATACATTATTTATCCAATTAAAATTGAACCGATTGATAGCAAAGTAAAATTTTATCAAGTGATTATTTTTAAATTATCTCTCAAGATGTTTATCCTTCAACCTCCCAAAACTTCCAAATGAAACTAGTCCGTTTTATCCATTCCTGTTAGAGCTGGCAAAACAGAACAGGAACCGATTACCCGAACCGAAATATCCGAAACCGAAACCGAAATGACCCGAAAAATGAAGATCCGATCTATAACCGAAAACCCGAAATGATCCGAATCGAACCGAAACCGAACTAAATAATTCATATCCGATTTAAATCCGAAACCGATTAGATCTGAAACCGATAATATCCGAACTGATTAAACCCGAAATCGATTAGATCCGAAACCGATAATACCCGAAACCGATAAAACCCAAAACCGTCTAGATCTGAAACCGATTATATCCGAAACCGATTAGAACCTACATAGATAATTTTGGAAGTATGTTTTCCTTTCAATAAGCATATTATGCTTTTAAAATTTTAGTTTTATTTTACCATTTGAACTAATTATATTACTTGCTCATTCCTTCATAAAATGGATTACATGTTTTAGTCTGGCTACAATAAGTTATCATATCCAAATTTCTAAAAAAACTTATAATGCATGTAATTTTATAATTAAAAAATTATAATAAATACAAATAAATTTTAATTATCATAGATGGTAAAATAAAACAAAAAAGTAAAACTTTTCCTTAAAAACTAAAAATATACTCCCTCCGTCCCCCTGTATTTGTCCACTTTCATTTTTGCACACCATGCAATGCACTTCTTTAATCCATTTTATCTTGTAATTTGTATATTAAAAAATTATAGAAATTATATATTAATAATCTATATGTTAAGACAAATCAAACAAGATCACACATATGGGTGGACACGGTACGGTTCCGGTTCCGGAACCGCCGGTTCCGGTACCGCCACCCCTTGGTACCGGTACCGTGACCGGACCGGCCGGTACCGGTTCCGGTTCCGGTGCCCGGACCGGCCGGTACCGGTTCCGGTGCCCGGACCGGCCACCAATTTCTTGCGGTTTCCAGTCGCCGACTCGCCATAGTCGCCAATGGCTATTGCTGCGGAACAATCCGAGAAATTGGGCTATTGGGAAATTTCAACTCGGTTTCCAGTCGCCGACTCGCCACAGTCACCAATCTTCTTCTTTTTTTTTTGAGAAATTAGGCTATTGGGCCATGGAGTATTGGCCATTTGGCGTGCTTCTTCTTCCTTCAATGTTCTTCGAGAATCGAGAGTTCGAGCGGCTGCTTGACTTGAGGGCGATGGTTGAACTTCCGGAAATGAAAAAAAAATCACAGTACGGTACCGGAACCGGTACCGGTACCGCCGGTTCCGGGACGGAAATGTTGGCACCGGAACCGGTACCGAGTGGGGCGGTGCCGGTACCGGTTCCTGGTACCGGGTGACGAAGCGGCTGACGAGGACGGTTGCAGGTACCGCTGGTACCGGCGCCGGTAACGGTACCGAACCGGTACCGTGTCCAGCCCTAATCACACATGACTATATTTAGGCTTACACATTGAGAGAATTTGATGAGTCAAAGTGCTTAGATGAACAGTTCCAAAAGTCAAATGTGGACAAATATACGGGGACGGAGGGAGTATTTTCTATCAAAATAATAAATATAATTAGTCAAATAAAGTGTAAAATAATAAGATTCATAGAAGAAATTAATAAATACATCATACCCTCGCATACCACGATATCTACAAAAAATGAAATGTCTAACAAAGTTATTTAAGAAGAGTTAATGTATTATCTTTCATATGCACATACATGTATAATATTTATGTATTCCATCAATAATAGACATTGTAATTGGATTACTTAAAGAGTTATTCTCTTATTTATTTAATGTGAGTTTTATTTTTTAATATAATACGGAGTACCATTTTTAAATAGCTATACTTATAAAAAAAGTATGCGAGTCGGTGCAAAGTACGAGATAAAAACTAGTTGCTTCGACTCATCTTCCCCAAAAAGTGGTAACACAATCCTAATACGATTTGAATTTATCTTTTATCTTTTTATTTATAAAGATAAAACTAATGATATTAATAAATGTGTACTAAATAATATTAAAACATAATTACTTTCTTAATCTAGGACTTAAACTTTTTTATTCCTTAGAGAGAACTTAATAATGTCTTAATGGGAGGAATAATGCCCAACAATAAATTAATAATGGACATTTACTTGAATAATGACTAATTAATAATGACCAAAAGTCCTACATTGGGAAATAAAAACATATGGTCCTATATTGGGAAAGTCATTGTGTTTTAGCTCTATTTAGGTAAATTACTCATAATGTTATTTGAAGTGATAAAATTTTAATATATCAAAACTAAATTTTAAAATTAATATTATGATATTAAATTTATATCATCATAAAATATATATTTTTCATAATTTGTAGTCCACTCGATCGAATATATCCGAAACCGAAATATATCCGAACCGGACTAGACCCGAAACCGAAATATATCCGACTCAAATTGTATCCGAATCAAAATCTATTCGAACCGATTCATAACCGAATCGTATCTGAACCGACTCGAAACCGAACCGAACCGAAAAATGTATAGAACCGAAATCAAATTCGAACCGAAATTTAACCGATCCGAACCGAACCGAACCGATTATAACATATCACCGAAAGATATCCGAACCGAAAAAGTTCAATCCAGAACCGATCCGGTTGATCCGATTGACACCTCTAATTCCTGTCCTCTATTTATCATGTAATGACAATGATAATTATCCTTGATAAAGTCCTTCCTATTGGGTCAAACGATCCAACCTCCTCAAATGCATGTAGCTCAGAGTTCCCAGCACCTTTCCGTCGTCCTTCAGACGGTCGACCGTCCGAATCCCAATTTTCAAGGCTTGTCGTTTCAATTTTCGTTTTCAATTTAATTATCCAAAAATCCTTCAAAATGTCCAAAAACTCATTAATTGAAAGTGATGGGTCCCACGGGTACGGTCAATTTGAAAGTGTCTTGATTTGGGGTCCTAGAGATGAAGAGAGAAGGAATAAAAATGCTACTCTAACACCTCCATAGATGATTAAAAATCAAATATATTCTAACTATAATACTTCCTCCGTCCCAAATTATTTTTCATATTTCTATTACCGAGACAAAATATCAAGTTTTTTCATTTCATTTTATTTACATATTGGTAAAGAAATAAAAAATAAAAATTACATATCAAAAAAATACATGAAAAGTTCTTCGAAATAAGAGGTGTCAAGAATATTTTATTTTATCAAATAACTAATGAAAACGTAGAAATAAACAAAAGTTCTCGCGACTGTTGAAAAAGCAAATGTGGAAAATAATTTAGGACGGAGGGAGTAATATAGATGCTTTATTTATTTAGAATATAAATTTAGCATAAATATTAAATTGTTAAATTTTAAAAAGTTATTGTGGTTAGTTTCACCTTAATTTATTTATATAGTATTTATTATAAAATAATATTTTTGTAATTACACTTTATATATTACCAGATTTAATTTTAAATATTAGACCTGTCACATAATGTGATCAAATCTATTTATTTTTTTTATGATTGACATTGTAACAATTATTTTGGGAATAAAAATATAGAACTCGTATTTTGGTACATATTAATGTTTTATACTCGTGGTTTAGTCTTTTTTTCTATAAAATAATTTGACTTTCAAAATTTTTTATAAGAATTCGAAAAATGTTTTTCACATCAATTTAGAAGAGTGTGAATTGTAAAAAAAAGTGACATGGAAAATTAAAAAAATGAAATAATTTATAATCTATAGTTATGAACATAATAGTTGTAATAATAATAATAATTATAATTATAATGCAGATAATACTAATAATAATTATTATGATAAGAATGATAATAATCACATCAAAAATAGATCATTTTTAAAGTAAATTTTGAGGAGTAGAAAGAGTTTGAAAAAATGATAATAGTTGGACAAAATTAGAAGAAACTAGAAGAAACTGGAAGATACAGGAAGAAACTGGGAGGACTGAAAGAACTGAAAGAAATTGGAAAGACTGAAAGAAACTAGAAGTTAAAAATTTAAGGTCTAGAATTTAAAGTCTCCCTAGCACACTCCGTTTTCTAGGGTTTTCTCTCCCTGTTTTCAGGGTTTTCAATTCGCCGTCTTTCTTGGCCAATTTTGCTGCCGTTTCTTGTCCTCTGTAGATCCATGGAAGGAAGAGACGTCGATCGATTGAATATCTCCGGCTTTTATTAGAGAAAGTTCTTGGTTTAATCCCCTTCTAGTTCTAACTTCATCATTTCCAATTGCTTCTTCCAATTTTTGTTTTTGACTCTCTCGAATCATATCTTTTCTCTTGCAAGATGCACAAACAACATTCATGAGAGTAGATATTAAGTCAAAAAAATTTTCAGCATCTAAGTGTTCATTGACAATTGTCACAACTACTAATTGAAGTTGATGGGCAAAGCAATGCACATAATAT